AAGGAGTCACTTCTGACCCACAGGGTCCCTCGTGGCCAGGGTTGAATGGCCCCTGGGGGTTTTCAAGACTGCAAGTCCTTACTGGGGTGGGAAACCTTGCCCTTCTCCTACAGAGGGGCTAGTGGCTTCAAATTTCTGACCAACACAGAACCCACTACCACCAGGGCTCAGATTTAGGGATTCTCAAATTATCTGACTTTGATGAACCTCATTCATATATCCAAAAGCCAAACCTGCTGCTTTGGAGCAAATTCCTACTCTAAATGCCTCAATAGGATGAAAGAAACAGCACTGCTCCATAGGAAATCTTGACAGAAACAGACAGTCTTAAGATTTCTCCTCCAGAGAGGTTGGTGTTTTTGAACCACTGACATTTTGGTTACTAGTCCAATGTTTAGCCAACGCTGTCAGTAGGAATTTGTTGATTCCCATGTTGCTGGTGTTGTTGGGTGCTGTTGAGTCATTTTCAACTCATAGCAACAACAAATGAAACACTGCCTGATCCCGTATCATCCTCACAATTGCTGTTAGTTTGAAGCCATTGTTGTAGCCCCTCTTGTCAATCCATCTGGTCTAGGGCTTCCCTCTTTCCCTGATCCTCTACTTACCAAACATGATGTCCTTGTCCAAGGATTAGTCTTTCCTGATAGCATATCTAAATTGCATGAGACAAATCTTGGTATCTTCACTTCTAAGAAGCATTTTAACTATACCTCCTATGAAAAAGATGTGTTCCATTTTCTGGTAGTCTATAATTATTTGAATGTTCTTCAGCAGCAGTATGATCCCAATACCCTAATTCTTCTCTAGTCTCTTTAATCGTTGTTCAGTTCTCACATGCATATGAGGCAATTGAAAATATGATGGGTCAAGATGTTTTATTCACAAAATGGCATCTTTTTACCTTACATTTTACTTATTATTTAAAACATTTTACCGGGTGCTCTTACAGTTCTTATAACATTCCATAAATCAATTGTATCAAGTATATTTGTATATATGTTGTTATCATCATTTCCAAAACATTTTCTGCTAGAACCCTTGGTATAAGCTCTTCCCCCTCCTACCCCCACCTCCCACCCTCGTGAATCCTTGATCAATTATATATAGTTATCTTACATTATCCATTTCTCCCTTCACCCACAATTGTTATTTGTCCCCTTTCAGGGGGTGGGGGTGGGGTTATATATACAGCCTTGTGATAATTCCCCCCTTTCTCCCAATTCTCTGTCCCAGACCATCCCCCTACCCTCATGATATCACTACGCCCACTACTGTTTCAGAGGAGATTATCTGTCCTGAATTCCATATGTCAAGAGCTCTTACCTGTACCAATGTGTGTTCTCTGGTCTAGTCAGATTTGTAAGGTAGAACTGGGTCATGGTAGAGGGAGGGGGAAGCATTTAGGAACTAGAGGAATGATGTGTGATTCTTCAGCGCTATACTGCACCTTGGTTGAATCATCCCTTCCTTTCAATGCCACTGGATCCACAAGACTTCCCACCCCTGGCCTGTGATCTTCCTGAATTCAGCGTCATTGCATGTGTTTCATGAGTCTGAAGAAGACTTTATAGATTGGTATTGGACATATGGGCTAATATCGGACATATGGACATAATCTGGGCTGGGCTAGGATGTTTTCTCAATATTCAACTGCTCTTTTATATAAAGCTCTTTCTTGTATACATACATATGAGTGTCTATGAATTTGTTTCTGTAGTCTACCCAGATGAATACAGTGGACATTCAATTGCTTACAGATTGGCTTTGGGTCTCCACTCCAATCACCCTCATTTGCATCGGTATAGTTGTTTGTTTTAGATCTTTTGATACCTGATACACGATTCTGTGGCCACCTCATGATCACATAGGCTAGTCTGCTTCTTCCATGTGGGCTTATTTGCTTCCTTACTAGATGGTTGCTTGTTTAACTTCAAGCCTTTAAGACCCCAATGCCTTATCTTTTGATAACCAGGCACCATCTGCTTTCTTCACCACATTTGCTTATGCATCCATTTTGTCCTCAGCGATTGTGTTGGGAAAGTGAATATCAAAGAGTGCCAGGTTACCAGAATAAACTGTTCTTGTGTTAAGTGAGGCCTAGATTAGAGGCCCAAAGTCCATTTGCTATCTTAATACTTAACAAATAAATATATGTACATTGTCCTCTATCCCTTTCATTATAAATTAATGTATTTACATATAAACTTGCCTCTAGTTATACCTCTATAAATAGCTTTTGTCTCCTGTTTCTTTCCTCTATTTCCTTTCACTTTCCTTCTATCCCACTCTCATGCTCAACCTCCATTTGTCTCTCGGTAATTCTTCTCTAATACACAGCACGTGATTAAACCCCACTGGGCATTATATGTCCTCCTTGCCATTAATTTTAGAACTCTTGTTTTTCCCTTATCTCTGAATTTGTTGCCTCCTCACTCCCCCTCACTGGCCCCTTCTCTCCTATGCCCCCATTGTTTGGAACCCTAGGTCCCGTTGTTTTCTCCTCAGGATTGTTCGTTCCGCCTATGTTGTATCGATAAACAGGGTGAAAGAAAAACAAAAATAAAAACAAACAAAACAAGAAGAAAAACTACAATAGATAGTTCCAGGTCTGTCTGCTGACCCTTATGTATGTTTTCTGATGAAGTCTAATGAGGTGCCAAGCCCTGTCCCCCAAGTCAGAAGTATATTTTCAGGGTTCCGTGGAAACTTGATTAATTTGCTCCCCTTACTTCCCAGTAGTGCTATGAGTCAGTGAGGGTCATAGTGTCTCATGGTGGGGCCGGCCCTATGGTCCTCTCTGTGCACTAGTACTGAGGATGACATCCCCAAGCAGGGATGTCATCCTCAGTACTTGCTGGCCATGATGAGTTTCTTGATGTCTGTGCAACAGACTTGCCCAATGAAATACCTCTTCTGATGTCTTGAATGCTCCTTTCTTAATTGTTGATTGTGGATCCAAATATCATAAATCCTTGACTCCATTTACATGATGTTGGTTATTAGTCCAGGTGTGAGGATTTTTGCTTTATTTTTATTATATTGAAATCCTTATTGAAGGTTGCAGTCTTTGGTCTTCAAATACTAAAAGTTTCAAGTCTTCTTAACTTTCTGTAATCAAAGTTGGGTCATCTGCATATCACAGGTGACCAATGATTCTTCCTCTAATACTGATGCTGAGTTTTTCATCATGTAGTTGAGCTTCTTGGGTTGTTTGATTGGTGTGTTAGTCTGGGTTGACTAGAGAAACAAATGCAGAGGCACTCAGATATGTATAAGAAAGAACTTTATTTATGTCAAAGAGTAATTGTATGATAAGGGAACATCCCAGCCCAATCCAGATTGTCCATAAGTCCGATATTAGCCCATACGTCCAATACCAGTCTATAAATTCCTCTTTATACTCACACAGCCATGCAACAATGCTGAATTCAGGAAGATCACAGGCCAGTGGGTGGAAAGTCTTGTGGATCCAGTGGCAGTGGAAGCAGCTTCAACTGGTGTGAGTCTCCACACCAGTTCCAGGGGCCTGGCTACCAACAGTTTAGCTCCATGTGGCATGTCAACAGTAATGTCTCACAGGGAGAAAGTTTGTTCCGCCTCCACCAAGCCATTTATTTCAGTAACGCCATGAAATGTGGTCATCAAGCGGCAACCTGATTTGACAGGCTCAACTCCACCCCTTCACTATTAATAGTCTTATGTAACTATGACAATGGGCATGCATATTGAATAAAAATAATGAAAGATACAACCCTAGCTCATATTTTTTCTAATACTAATCCACTTAGTATACCCTTGTGCTGTTAGAATAGTAGTCTCTTGTTCTGTGTACAGGCTTCATATGATCACAACAAAATGTTCTATAATTCTCATTCTTTTCAATTTTTCCATAGTTTGTTATAATCAGCACAATCTATTCCCCTTGCATAGTCAATATAATATAATATCCTCCATATATATCATTATTAATTATCATATATATATATCATATATATATCATAAATTAATTTGATTAAGTAATTTTAAGTATTGTTTATGTCCTGATAATTTTTAGTTAATATAGTTCTTGTTTCAAAATTAATTTAATTATTTTGCTAATTCTAGTTAACGACAACGGTAAAACTCTACTGTCAGATCATCATTAGGCTATCAAAAAATTATACTTTGCCATTAAATTTATTTTATAGTCATGAAGATTAATAGTATACTCATTTCAGTAAAGTGTTTTGTAAAACTTCTGATTTCAAGCATAATCAACAGGAATACTTTAAGTAATTTATTAGTAACTCTTTAGGTTTTTTACATTAACTATTATTTAATGACATGCTTCATTAGTCCTTATATTTAAATCAACTGACTCTGATAAAGATTAAGTATATAGAAATGATTTTATGTTACTTCATCTTTCTGAAGATGAAGTTTTCAAAGCATACTTTCAGCTTATTTCTTTTTAAATCATGTTTTATTTAATCATTGGAACAAGCTTGTGATCACTAACCTTTTAAATCTCTTGTAAAATTGGTAGAACTCATTTCAGAAACATAAGTGTCTTAGAATTTATGCTACTGAACAGCTACAAAAAAGATAATTATGTTAGGAATCTATAAATAAATATGTCTCTCTTCAAAATGGGATTAAACATTTCTAAGAAAATCATCATATTTGAAGATTGGATATCTTTTAAATAGCAGCTTTTGCTATTTTTGTTATGCACTTACAAGAAAATTAGGCATTGTAATAACAAGAAAAGTAATTCACATAAATAGAATATGAAGCTTTAATAAGAATAAAAAATAAATGAATACTTCTAAACCTTTGAGACATTTTAATTCCACGGATTATGCCATGAGTTTTAGCAGAGGATACAAATTGCTTTAAGGTAACATAACAACAAGGAAATTACCTTTTAATATTGGTTTCCAGAGCAGCAGGAGAGTCAGCTCCTCGATTTCTCTGGCCACGGGCACACGGTCTCGAGAGAGGAATCACCAAACCCAATGGCCAGGATTCTGCGCTCAGTCATTCAGAGACCCCTGGGCAGTCTACAGCCTGTGACAAAAGGTGTGGAGTCTCTCATTTGCACGGAGTGGATTCTCCACAAATTTAGCAGATCAAGAATTCCAGATAAAGTGTTTCAGCCTTCGCCAGCAGATCATGAAAAATATGGTGGAGATCCACAAAACCCTCATAAACTGCATATTGTTACCAAGATAAAAAGTACAAAAAGACGGCCATATTGGGAAAAAGATACAATAAAGATGCTTGGATTAGAAAAAGCACATACTCCTCAAGTTCATAAGAATATCCCTTTAGTGAATGCAAAACTGAAAGTGGTGAAATATTTGATAAGGATCCAGCCACTGAAGTTGCCACAAGGACTCCCGACAGAGGAGGACATGTCTGACACGTGCCTCAAGAGCACTGGGGAATTAGTGGTGCGGTGGAATCTAAAACCTGTGGAGCAGGAAGGAATTAAGTCCTAATGCCAGAGCAGCCTCAGATTTTAGAAATGTAAATCCTTTATATTTAAAGATGATGAAAAGGTGTTTTCATTAAAATACATTTTAAATAACAAAAAAATACTGGTTTCCAGTGTCATTTTTATTAATAAATACTTGAAAAATAAAATAATAATATATTTTCAGAAAGATAAATGAAAACTTATGATATTTAAAAAATAATAACAAAAGATATTAAGTGACCTTATTAATTCTTAAAATATTTCCCAAATTGTCTTCTGATTTTAAAATAAGATTTATTTTATAACTAATTTACATCTCATTCTAGATTATATTCTCAATACACAATTATAATTAATTTAGGTTAGTATAATAAAATCCATAGATTAGTATTATGTTAAAGTAAACTATATATATGTGGGATACAATACTATAGCATTTTATTACTGAAATATTAAAAATCATTGTTTGGACTTAGGAATTTTATTAAAAACTCAACTCTGAATATTATATTTCAAAAATGTATATGACATTTTCAAAACAATGGCTAAAATCAACAATAACAAAACAGCAAAAATCTACATAAAGATTATTTTAATATTTCTTTTCCAGATAATGGCTTAAAAGGGAAAAGAATTAAGAAATGCTGAAAAATCTCCTGCTACTTTGTGGCTTCCAGCTCATAATGACACTATGGGATAGGATGAGGGGCTCCAATATCTTTTCTAATGCTACAACCATGTCACATCCTTCTCACACATAACACCTGATTTGTTAAAAAGCAGGAACAATGAAAACTGACCTTTTGCTTAGCAATTGAGCACTTTAGCCACCGTGCCACCAATGCTCCTTTAGGAAGTACGATGGAGTTTTAATTTAGTGAAATACCTGACTTACATAATCAAAGGAGTCAACTTAGAAATCTGACAAAATAGTATGTCTTTTGTGGGGTGAGTGAAAATCTTTCAATTATATTGACATTGTACTAAATTGCAGCAACATTTTTCAAAGGTCAATAATTATTGAGGGGTTCTGAATGTATGAATTTCTTACCAGTCAAGGGATGTGTTAACTATATGGACTGTCTTTGTGTAACAAGAGACTATGACTACATTTACTTCCTCATAAATACCTATTTTCTTCTAATTCTTAAGGAAAATATGATTCGGTCAGAGGAATTAATACATATTTCTGTTGACTTTGATATTCTGAGTTCCTTAATTTTTAAAAAGGTACAGAAATTAATCCTAACCTGATGCTGAAATAAATATATAATCACCATGGAAAATTAATTTTCCATATGTTGCTTTAGATATTTCTAAAAGTTCACATTAAAAAACAGTATGTTAAAAAAAAGATCACTTTCTAATGTCATATCCAAGTTCACTTGTTATGTTATAGACAGGCACACAAGTGATATATAATGTTATAGTATTGTTTCTTAATTAATATATGAATTAACCATCATAAAATTTAAACATATTCTCAGCATCATAAATTCAATTACTATGCTCATCAAGAAAGGGAAATGTTGCTGCACACTTACAGATATAGAAACTTGCAGAAAAATATTTCAAATGTGTTGGCATGGCATATTATTTAATAAGGAAAATTATGAAGTTGTGTCAGATCTATACAGTTAGGAAACCACCACCATTGGGGACATAGAGAAGGAATCTAACATTTATACAAGTGGACACCCCCCACCCCCCACCCCGCCAAAAAACAAACAAACAGGGAAAATCTCCTCTGTGCAGGGTTTTCATAGTACACATTTTCCTCCTTAGGCCGGTATTGAGCAACTCACTCTGAGTTAGTGTACCCAGTAGTGTCACATGGGGAGTTGCTCTATAGTCACAGTGAATTTTTTTCAAAAAATCAGTTTCACTAAAACCTTGTTTTCTAGGATGGCCAATTTAAGAGAATGGTGTGCAGCTGGGAAATTTTGTTTCCTGCTCAGGAAAAATGCCTCAGAAACTGCTGTGATGTTGAACACAGCTTACAAGAACAGCATTATGGGAAAAATTCAGGTGTAGGAGTGGTTTTCTCATTTCAAAAAAGATGAAATGTTAATTAATGACCAACCTCATTCTGTATGTCAGTCAACATCCCGAATGAACAAAAAGATTGAATCATGGTGCATTTGGAGTTTATTCTACCAGGTCAGATTGTTAATCAAGCTTTCTATTCAGAGGTTCTGAAAAGATTGCATAACAGGGTGTGACAATGCCTGATTTCTGGCTGATGAGGGACTGGTTTTGCCACCACCACCATACACCTGCTCATGCAGTCATCTCATTGCATTGGTTTTGGGCAAAAACCAGCATGCCTCTCTTGCTCCACACACCTGACTCACCTGACCTCACTCCATGCAACTTCTTTTTGTTTCTGTGAATGAAGAGGGACATGAAAGGACAGCGATTTGATGCTGTAGAAGAGGTGAAGAAAAAAATCAAGGGAGTTGCTGTCAGCCATCCAAACAGATGAATTTGAAAAATGTTTTCAAGAGCAGAAATGCAGATGTGACAAATGCATTAAGTGTAATGGAGAGTCCTTTGAAGGTGATAAGGTTGTTCTGTAAACAAATTTTGTACATAGATTTGAAAAAAGATTCTGTCTTTTGGAGGGAGAGGTGGGATATCCCACATATACAGTTATCTTTGATTCATCCATCTTACTGATTCTTGAAAATGTATTAGTATTATGGAATGATCATTCACTTTTCACTTGAGACAATTGTGGCTGGCGTAGAAGTTCACCTGAACACAAATATGTGTGCTTGGTTCAAGGCCTTTTCTATTCTTTCTCAAGAAAAGTTCTTCTTCAACTGGTGATCTAGCCAACACAAGGATTTTCTTCTGATCACCCAATTATGAAATATTCAGATGTATTTTTGTTAAGGTTGAATTTAAATAAAACTTTTATGAATAACACTGACACGATGCTAACAGTGTCAGAAGTAAATTACATTCAGAGAGCTTTCAAAATATTGAATTTCAGCACCGGAAGTCCAGGCAATGTTCAATGGTTTAGTGTTTTCTCAAGAATGACAATATAGAATGGCCTGATTTGGATCAAGGCAAGATGGGGGTCTCAGTCTGTTTCAGACAATCTTTATAAGTCCAGTGGCTCTTCCAGAGAGTGTCAGGAGGTGTCCTTATCTTACACACACACACACACACACACACACACACAGGCACACACATCACAAAATCAAATGCACACATAACAAATATTGATAAAATATATATCACCATTTCCTATGTGTTTGAGTAAAATGGATTAAATTATGCTGAATGCGTTGGAAGAACTCCAGAAGGAAATATGTTCAAAAATTATAATGTTAAAGACCCACATGTTCGCAAAGACAGTTGTTAATTAGTTAATTTTCAACTAGATTAATCATTAGCAGTGTCATTTTTATTCATTACATAACATGGATGGTTTTTCTGATGACTATTTGTCAAGATTTAAGAGGTAATAACCGAAGTAAATCTTTTAACTATATTGTAACCTTTAGAGATAAAAGCATATTTATTTTTCACAAGTCATATTTTCCTTAAAATAGTATATGACACAAGATAAAAGAGACTTGATAGTGTAATTGTTAAGTATCCTGTTACAAAACGAAAGTTAGTGGTTCAAACTCACATGACAACCAGCTTCTGTAAATATAATCAGGAAATTTGTCTCATGCTGTCACCATAAAGCTAAATCAATTCGATGGCACCTAATGTGATTATAAAAATTGCCTGGCCAAGTGCAGCATAAGGCACAGAAAGGTGCCATAAATTGTAAATGTAGGAATGAATCTTTACAAATTACTGTAACTCAACAATTCATTTAATCCCAACATGAGAGAGTGTAAACACACTAATATATATTATTGAACTTATTATTATTAACCAGATAAAACTTACACCCAAGTTTTAGAACATGATAAAATGTACACATTTTAACATGTTTGGGTACATTGCAGAAGTGTCCCCTGTCAAGATACTGATGAATGCTACTTTGTTCAAGAACACAACCAGCAAAATTCTCTGTCTGCATCATGGCTTCTGAGGAAGTGAAACACATGAATTTACCTTTGAGATTTTGAAGATGGATTTTTTTCGGCAATTGTATGAAAATTATATATCAAATAGAAATTCTTATTGCTGGAGCAGTATTAATATGATGATGTAAAATATATTCTGCAACAACAAAGTCAAGGAACTGAAATTTATGTTCTATAAAATATATCCTTCTACCAAAAGTTTAAAACATTTGCTGGTTTCTAGCAGGATATATTTACTTTTCCTTTCCTTGTTTTTGTTATCAACTCCTCACATCTAATGGGAGCTTGGTCCTCCAGCAATATATGTATTCCCTGTTAAGAATATCTGGAAGCTTTACTTCCCATAAAAGCCCTGAGCTCAGGTCTCTCAGGCAGATCTAATATCCTCATGCAAACATTCCTGGAATGTTTAGGATAAACCCTGCCTATGGCAATTTTCACTTCTCACATTCACCAACTCCCCCAGTAAACCTTTAGATAGTGCACTCTTAAAAAATAATAAAATATAACATAATTTCAAGTGTTTTGGTTACCCACTGATTTTCAATCCCCAATTGTATTCTATACCCTACAGCCTCCTGACTATCTTAATATACTTTATTTCTCTGCTGCCTATTGCTCGATGAATTGAAAGTAGTACAGAATGACTTTGAAATCTGGCAGCACAAGTCATTTGGGGATAACTGACAAAAATAAAATATTTCAGACACAGCAGCTTATAAAATTCAAACTTTTAAAATAGTAACAATGCGTATAATATACAGATTGATAGGTGAATCTGTGTGTGTATCTTCTGTATATAAACATGAACATACATACACATATATAAATTGAGACCCAGAAATGACCTACATATGCTCTAAATGAAATGACCTTAATAGGCTCTAAATGTTAGGAATACTCTAAGAGTTGATCTGGAAATTAGAGTTATTATGAATGAAAATAGTCTATTTTATTGGCATCGGAACAAGTGTGAGAATGGCACAGGTCT